TGATCAAAGTGAAAAAGTATTCATGCGCTCTCGTGATGTCAGCTTCAGGTAAGTAACCTGTTCTCTTTCTCAAACTGTCACATTAACAGCGGCCAGACGTCCTGTAGTTCTGTTATTTCTAAGCAAATGACAGAAGATAAATAAATGTGTTTTATTTAGTCACATTTATTTGTTTTTTAAATCTTTTTCCTACCTGAATATTTGTGTCCATTACAATGAGAGCGAATTACTAAAGGTAAAGAAATGCAAACAGAGAAACTGAGCGACTGGGTAAAGCAGGAAGAAATCCTGAGATTAAAGTCATACAATTCTGAGAAACACACATGTATGATTTGTGGAGAAAAAATAATATCAAGACAAGAAAGAAAAGGAAAACAGAATTTTTATGATGGGAAAAACATCTAATTTAACAATTTCCAAGTAAAATGTGCGCTAAGAGGAAATGTTAGAACACAAACAACAGCTTTCCAGTCATTAAGAGAAACAACAAACTACATTTCAAAAGGAGTTTCGATAATGAGGTTTTCCTTTAACCTTCAATAGTCTTGATACGCTGTCATATTTTCACAGACTTTAAAAAGCTGTTGATGTTATTCGTGTCCAAATGGGACTTTTGGTTCAGGTTTAAAGTGACAAACAGCACAAACAGGCTCGCACGCTGCCTTCATTCTTCTTCATTACCCACCATGTTACTGGTTAAACGTTATTTCTGCTTTCTGTCACTTTAAAGAGCGCTGAGCATTGCTTTGACCTGCATGAGTAAAATCTCACATCAACATAAACGTTTCTATGTGAAACAAACAATCTGCCTGGATAAACTGCACCAAAGTTTTTCGATCGTTTCTTTGTGAGAAAACATTTTTAAGACTCAAAATGCTGCATATTAGATTTCTTTATGTAAACTAAAAACTTCCTACTGAAAAAAAGGACACTTTTAAACTTTTTTGTGGAGATTTTCATCTGATTTGAGGGGAGACAGAGGTTATGGGACAGATTTATGATATTGGTGGGCTTCAAAAATAAAAATGCTTTGAGTTGAGTTTGAATTAAATTGGCTGTGCAGCATGCGTATACACATTAATGCAGCGTGGGTGTTTGGCAGGGTTTGCTTCCCGCTGAGTCAAAGTTACTATGGTAAAATAGATAAAAAAGTATAGTAGAAATTCAGATAAAGCATAACTCTTATGTAATGTATGTTGAAAATCAAAGCTTTCAAAATGAAAGAAAAAGACATGAAATAAAGAAATCATCATATAGAAAGTGACATTATGAAAGAAAAGTGACAAAAAAATAAAAGATGAGAATGAAATTAAACTGAAAATAAGAAATATTAAATACGTGGTTGGATTATTAATTAAAATGAGACACTGATGAATCATTAAATATATAAGTGGCATAAAATATAAAAATATGACATGAAACAATGGCATTATGCATTGAAATGTTAAAATTAAGGTGACATAAAAATGGATGATAATTTAGGAAAGTGCATACATTAAAAAAAAGAACAAATGAAAGTGTGTATAAGTTATAGTTTATTATTTATTTTATTATTACTTTGAGATTTCCCAGCTGTGAACATCCCACCAGAGCAGCTGCTCTGTAATCACTCTGAAACTGTGTTTTCATTTCAAGCTTGCTGTTTGTACCAAATGTTGTTTATCTCATTTTTTTAGAAAGTATTTATTGTATTTATGTAACAAAGTCAACTGTTGTCTTTTGTTTGGTGTTTTGTTATTGGTTTTACATTTCTGGTTCAAAGCCTCTAAAGTGCATAAAGTCTGTTCCATAAGTGTTTTAATAAAGTCTTTATCAAGTAAACTTTGTATTTCTATTATTAAAAGCATAAGGCACTGAAATCACTATCAATCAGCAGATGCAGTATTATTTATTTATTATGTTCTTTACTTGGCATAAAGTATTTATTTATATCTTGAACTACTGCACTGTAAATGTGTTTGACTTTTATCTATTTTGCTAGAGTGTCCTTTATCTTT